TTAGTATTAGTATTAGTATTAATATTAGTATTAGTATTAGTATTGGTATTGGTATCAGTATTGGTATTGGTATTAGTATTATTATTAGTATTAGTATTAGTATTAGTATGTGTATCGATATTGATTAGTATCAGTATTAGTATTGATATTAATTAGTATAAGTATTAGTATCAATATTAATATCAATATTGGTATCAGTATTGGTATCCATATTGGTATCGGTATTGATATCAGCATTGGTATCAATAAGGACGTATACATCTTATCTCTTTTGCAATATTTATAAGTTGTATTGTTGTTTGAGCAATTTGCATCACTAATTAAACGTCATTAGTTATAAACTTACAGGTTATTTGAATATCTATTTTGTTACTTCTCTCCTACCATGTTTGTTGTTAATTTAGTTATTTTGCAAAATATTGACATTGTGTAGTAGGTTGCATTCCTCGAACTAGAGTTATACCATATATTTTAAATGATTTCACTTAATCTTCATATCGTGTTTGCGCGCTTCACGTTTTCTTCTTTAGAATATTTAATTTAATCTCATATGTTAAAATTCTGAAATAAGAGATAAAGTTTATGGTTTTTTTTTTATTTTCTTCCATTTTGTTTACTTGAATTGCTATTGTTATAAAGAGATAGTCGTTTACATATTATTATTTTTCTCATTTTAAAACTGACATCCGTGCAACGCACGGGTGAAGAACTAGTTATTTCCTCAAAATAAAATTGTCTTTCTGAAATATTTTAAAAAACTTTCCCAAAAAAGAATTCAAAATTTTCTCTCTCTAACATACATGATTTGACTGCTACAGTGAAAACTGTCTTCACTAAATTACAAACTAAAATCACTTTATCCTTCAAATTCTTCTTCCAAAATACATTTTTCCAACACCTTTTAGACATGATTCGACTTGCTACAGTACAAATTGTCTCCTCTCAAAACACAAACAAACTTTATTTTATTTTCAAATTCTTCTCCCAAAACATCTTTCTCCAGAATAAAATGGAAATGGAAGCCCAAAAGCTTACCAAACACAGCCGTTGTTTTCCTGTATCCGTTTCCTAAGTTCTCCATGTGGAATTTTTTTTGCAATTTCAAGTAATTTAAGTTCTACGTAATTGACGGTTTAATAATTAACTACCCCTTCAAAATCCCCAAATTTGTAAATTTATAAATTAAATATTGGGGCAATTTGCTATAGGTCCTCCTCTAAGAGATTTTATGTCTATAAATCCAACTAATAAAACTCAATTTTTAGTAAATTTATTATTTTTAATATGTCAAAAATATCCCTAACAATATATGGAAATAAAAATCTCCAAAATAAATATCTCATATTTTTCTCCTTGCAGTTAATTAACCCATTCCAAAACGTCACGTATTATCAATCTCAAATTCCACCACACCCAAGAATCGATTTCATCAAATTTCACCGCTCCAAAACATCGATTTCATTAATACCAAACATAACTAGAAATCGCGAGTCTGTCGTTTGCAATTTACAAAATTTCGTGTGTTGTCTATGTTGGGAAATCAGTTTTTTTTTTTCTTTTCTCATTTGCTATTTGGAGATCGTTTGTTGTTTGAAGACATCGTTTGTTGTTTCTTCATCTGTTGTTTGTGATTTCTACAATGGCTCAAAAACAATTTCGTCTCGGTAAACAATACTCCTATTAACTACATGTACATAGCATTGTTCGATTTTTTCAATACTCATTCAAAAACCCTTTTTTTTTGAGACAGCGAGCGAACGAGGATGATGAATTCGAATCCCCGAGAAATCAGATATAAATTGCAGGGTTTGTTGAAGTTAGTAGTCTAGTTTTTTTTTTTTAATTGCAGTTTGCACTTTGCGATTCTCTATTATAATTGAAGTTGTTATTGGTTGTTTGCAGTTCATGTTTGGCCTTTATTGGAGTTCATATTAGTTGTTTGCAGTTCATGTCTACACTTGTAAGATGAACTGTTGTTTTCATCTTCAATTAATAATTGCTATTAATTTCTTTTAAATTTTACTTAAGCAGTTTTTATTAAGCTACTTTTTTTTACACTTTGAAGCATGTATGTTGCAAAAGACATTTATTTGCAATTTTAGTTTTCACTTTGAAACTATTTTGTAATGTAATGCTTGTTGTATGTTGACGTTCTTGAGTTGCGAATTATGTTGCTAGCAATTAGGTTTACATTGTACTATAATACTCATAAATTGGACTTTAGATTAGTTTTTCTCTTTTTACACATGTTTGCAATCAGTTTTCTATTTGCATTTTTCAGATTATTTTGCAAATCTTGTTTGAACTTGCGTATGTTGTTTGTTGTTTGCAATCACAATTCTTTTTTGCTATTTTTCCTTAACTTTGCAATTAGTAAGTCGTGCTTAAAGTTTGCAATTTTTTTTTGTAGGTTCAAGATTGTACATTATATCCTGCCGTGAGAGTGTTTCAACCCATACATGTCTGGGTAAAAAAGAAAGAAGATAATTTTCGGTTAATGCCGCCGACATGGAAAAGTTCCTCGATAGTGCCAGTGCCAGTGGTCAAAAATTATTGTTTAATGCTTTACATTTATTTTTCTATTTGAATTTTAATTTATTTTTTGCATCATGATTTATTGTGAAAATATTACACTTTTTAGAGTTTTGTTGCACATCCAGTAATATTGTTATAATTTATTTTTTCTATTTCAAATGAAAATTTGTATTTTTTATTTTTTATTGCAAACATATTTTGTCGTTTTAAATAACTTTGGTAGTTTACAGTTTACAGTTTGCACTTCATGTTTTATTATTTTTCGTGTACAATTTGCCTTCACAGTTTGTATTTGCAGTTTGTAATTAGTGGTTGTTAATGTTAGCAACTATTACATTTGTTGTTTTGTATCGTTGCAGTTTTCTATTTTATGTTGCAAATTTATTATGTTGTTCAAATTTTTTATTTTGTTGTTTGTTCAAGTATAACTGATAAGAAAATGCAAACAAAAAAATGCAATATTGTCGAGAACATACAAAATAACAATTAAAATCCAACACATATAATCTCAAGAAAATTAATAATTGAAAGATTGCTATAAAAATACTTATGTAAAAAATATTAAATATTTTTATAAAGTAATAAATAATTAATTTTCAAATTTTGTTGCCTTGAGAGAGAGGGTGAAATACGTGTGTGATAGAGAAGGGATGAGAAAGAGATGTGTGTAGGTGTGATGAGATGGGAGATGTGTTTGACCGTGTAGAAAGGAGAGAGAGTGAGAGATTTGTGGGATTTGTTCCCTTAATTTCTAAAATAACTATTTACATATAAATATTAATTGGGGGCATCTATGTCTATACACTAATAATTTAATTTAATTTAATTGATTAAGGACCTACACCTATATTCATCTAATAGATTGGATCTCCACCTATATAAGTCTAGAATAAGGGGTGTCTAGCCAATTTCCCCTTAAATATTTTATTTAAATCTTCAAACATAATGCAACTAACTAACTAACTAACTATATATATATATATATATATATATGCAGTTGGATATATGGCTCCTAATTTCATCCCAATTAAGGCTAAATTTTCAAAAGTAGTTAATTCATAAATCATCAACAAACCTATCAAAAGGTGGTAGGATAATCATGCTCCTAATCCACTTATCACGTGTGTAGCTAGAGCAATTAGTCATGTTAATCACAGGCAACGAATTATGATGTTTGCGATTAAATAATGAGTGGTTATACAAGCACGCATGTGCACAAAAATCATTATATTATACACTACAACCTTAAGAAATTAACAACCTCGCTTAAATAATAATTTATTCTGATCCCCGACTCAATGTAAACATACCAAGTTATAGGTTCGACCGATAATTTATATTAAGAAATTTAATTCATAATTAATCGATTAAAGTGTAATTAATTAAGGTGTTCCCCTTTTGGCCAACTAGTGATGATTTGGCTTTCTGCTCTGTGTGACAATTTTTTTTTAAAAATCTTTTTAGCCGCCCAGCAAATAAATAGTACTACATTATTATAAATTAAACCTCGTGCACTAATACGACATAATCATAGTTATTGTAATAAAAAGAAATATTATTATAATAATCCAGCTGGCAGATTTATATTCGTGATAAGCAGCTTGAAAGAATCCCTTTTGGCTTGCATGGAAAAATGAGGTGAATATAACATAATAATGGCTTTGTCTCTTTTCCCCCGTGTGAACAATTTATCATGTCATCATTGTTCAATCCTCGTGTATATTTTGTATGCCTTGTTTGGTTGTTAAGATATAATTAATCAAAATAAAATAAAATAATTTCATGAAAATTCGATTAATTTATCAGATTTATGAACATGATAATTATACAAAAGATAAGACATGATAATATAATATTTATCGATCGATATCCAGTAAGTTAATCGTGGCTATCCCCAATCAAACGAGGCTTTAAAGTATACCAAATTAAATTCCTAAGTCATTGTGCATAGAAATATAACTATATCTCTTTTTTTTTTTTTTTTTTTTTAATATACATATATGTTGGAATTTTACCTAATGTTATCATGAAATTTAAAAAGGTGCATATGTAACTCTTTAAGTTTTATTAATTTCTTACACCATGGATGGCTCATATAATATTTCAATAAAATAATTATTTGGGTACCTACCTCCTCCGTAGTTAGATTTAATTACATCTAGATCCCCTCAAGTTTGAAAAATTACACAAACTTCCATGATGTTTACTTTAGACAGTTGAAACTTGAAACCAAACTTTAATGTTCTCATTTGTGAAATTTCAAATTCAAGGGGTCTAACTATTATTATTATGCTAATATCTTCGATATAGATCCACAATTTCGAGACTAATATACGCATTGTGTATTGTAAGGAGGGTAAATCTGGAATAAACAAAAAACGGGTTTACCACTAATAAGAAAAAAATAGCTGGACCCATCTTTATTAAAAAAAATTGACGGGATTTCCACTAATAGCCTCAAAAAGAAAAGGTGAAGACAATTTTAATTAGAGATAATAATATGTGCTTAAACCAAAATTAGAATCCCAATAATAATTATTTAGTCAATCCCATGCCAATGACATATAGTAAACATACATAAAACTAATTACCACATGATCACTAATGAACCCTAATTAATTATTCTACAAAACTTAAATCTCCTCTCCAATTAATTAATTAATTAATTAAATATCTGATAAGTCTGCAGAAGTGAAAATTCTTTGGCCAGGAGACAAAATCAATCTGGGATCGAACTTCGTTTTCAATTCTTGAAAAGTGTTCCATTTCCGACCAAAATGTTTCATCCAATCTTCCTTGGATTTGTAGTGTGGAAGATACTGTTTAATATTAATTTCATTTTCCTCACAGAATCTTATTATTTCTTTATTTAATTCCTCATAAATCCCAGCCTCGTGGGCCCCACACGAATGCAGTAGTCCTAGTGTGTAGAATATCTCCTCATCTGGTATCACTGCAGACATTCGTTCATCCCATCTGCAATATTGTAATAATAATAATAATTTTTAATTCAATAAAAAAAATAAAAAATAAATAAAAAATGGATTTTTTTTTTTTAAATTTTTTTTACTTTATTCTGTGAAAAGGGTAGAAGAGGATGGGGCCGGAGGAGTGGTTATGCCTGGCAATGATGTCGACAAAAACACCAGCATTGAAATCTAGTATTCTTGATTTTGGTACGAACAAATTCAGCCATGGATGTACGGAAGCAGCTGCTTTTGCAGAGCTTTTTTGATGAATATTATTGTTGTCTGTATTTTCAACTCTACCAAGAAAATCAATCAGACCGACATCTTTCTTGAAAATGAAGCCGCGAGTGTAGCTCAACTCATTCATTAACACTTCAATTTCCTGCAGCAGGTTTTTTTTCATGCAAATTGTGTACAGTTAGTATTGGGAAAATTGCACTTTTTTCCTCTCCCCCCTCAAAATACAAAAAAACGAGACTATTCCCCTTTGAGATACACAACTCGGTGCACTTTGACCCGAATTTGTATTTCCGGTTTAGTTCTTGTTTGATTTGAGTAAATTGGAAGGGTAATTTCGTCTTTTAATGCTTTAAATATTGTCATTTAACATTTAAATCGATTTGGGAAGAGAATTTTGTTAATATGGGAACCCTAAATAACTCCGAAAGGTAAAATGACATACACACCCTTACTTCAGTGAGAATGAGACCAGAAGTACACATTTGAGACAAAGTGCACCGAATTGTATATTTCGAAGAGGGACATCGTTTTTGTATTTTGAGGGGGGAAGTGCAAAAAAGGCATTTTTTAGGGGGTGAAGTGAAATTTATTAATTAAAATGCATACGTTGATTAGTGTTTTATTTTTACCTGGTCGACGGAATCGGCAGTTTGTTCGTCGTAATACTTGACGACTTCGATGGAGTAGAGGAGGCCTTGTTTGGTATTTAACAAAGAAATAATCTTGGAGTAATGTGAAGGGGAGTAAAATGAAGATCTCCAATTGTTTGGAGGGCTCTTGTCTGTAATTAGGGAACCCTCCACGTAATCCGGAACACTGCTCGAAATCAAATGCTCTTGGTCTCTTGTGAATATCGTAAAATCACTGTAAATCAACCTCAACCATTTCACCTTAAAAAAAAAAACGAAAAAAACATTATTAGTCAAGAAACAATTAATATATAAACACGTGCATAAATATTGATTTAGATAGATATATAATATATGTATGTATATCCGATCCTCACTCTAGTTGGTGCTTTTTCGAGGACAATCCTTGCTCTAGTTATGATGCCGAACTGCCCGAGACCGCCAAGAACTGCGAAAAACAGCTCGGGATTTACGTCTTTCGAGCAAGTCACGAAATCCCCTTTGCCTAATATCAAACAAAATTATAAATAATGTTGTGCATTTTGGAATTGATTAATGAATTAATTAATTATCAAGATCCAATTTTTATTTTTTTTACTGTAGTGTGTAGGTAACCACGTGCAGTCATATATTCTTTGATGACAAATTTGGTCTGGAAAATCTTACCTAGAAGATGAACATATATTTTACCACACTCAGATCCTACTAAAAGGCAATTCGTTCTACCATTTTTTTTTTTTTTTTGGTAAATGTAACATTTTCTACTTTAATTTTGTAACATTGTGAAGAACATGTGTAGGTCCACGTAAGATGCTCCTACAGTACCAAATCACAAAACGACAAACTTTTTTACATGTAATAATCATGTGCTGTGCATGATATTATACCTAGTACTCCCAAATATTTCTCTTTCACCACTGTCTTATTATTAATTAATTCTATATATATATATTCAAGAAAATATTATAATAAAAATATATAGATATTTAAACTTACCAGTAATAACATCTAATTCAAGAACATTGCTGATTTGAGGGCCATGTAAGAACGACTGCCCACTAATCCCGCCATTAGAGAGTGTCCCTCCGACGGTCAAGTACAGATAATCCGTCCAAGAAACGGGCGCAAGCCCGTATTCCAACCCGGCCCGTAAAACATCGGCCCACATTTTCTCTCCACCAACATCTGCATAGTAACACCCTAACGAAGAATCCCAAGAAACCCTAATCCCATCATTACTAACTTGATCACCACTACTCAGAGAAGACATCTCCACCACCACCCCGCCGGCGGCGGTGGCCTGCCCTCTGACGGAGTGGCCACGGCCTCTGGCGGCGACGGTGAACGGAGCCGAAATGTTGTTCGAGAACTTAACGAGATTGATTACGTCGTCGACGGACGAAGGGTAAAGGACTAGTGGGGGAGGTTCTTGAACTAGGTTTCCGTAGTCGTTAGAAGCCGTTGTAATGGAAGCGGGATCTTTACGGAGTTTGCTACTCGATATGATTTCGTTCGGGATTGTAATATCGCCCGAAATGCAGATCGAATTGGTTATAATTAGAAAGATAAGGAGAAGTACGAAATTCGAAGACGAATTAGGACAAGGGATTAATGTTGCCATTTGAGAGAGGGGTTTGGATTGTAAATAATTAATATAATTAGGGTGTTTTTTGGATATATTGAGAAGTGAAAAATGAGATGGTATATATAGACAAAAGAATTGCGGTTTGAGTGTACGTGTGAATCTAAGTAAATCTTTGACATATGGTGCATGATCAATTATTAAGATACCTACAATATATACCTTCTCATGTTTTTTTTTTTTTTTTTTTAAATTATATATTTTTATTTATATTTATATATATGTGTATATATACACGTAGTACTGTCCTAATACTTAAAGAATAAAGTATATACTTACAAAAAATCACGTGTATTCACATTTTAATATTTCGGTTTGCAACATATACACACATAGAAAGCAAGTTAAACTCAATATATTTTAAATACGTGCATAAAATAATAATAATATTAATAGGCCATACAGTGCACATGATATAAAGCAACAATATCTGTTTCATCTACTAGGGTTAGAGGGTACTTTAGTAATACTGCAGAAAAAAAAATTATTGTAATTGTCAACTTGTTGTTAAGTAAACAACAAAGAAATCTCAAAAGTCAAATTTTAACTATAATTACCAACCACACGTTGTCTGAAGTTTGAACTGAAAATGATCACATATTATTAGAGCCTTCAACTTTAATTTAATTCTCTTAAACTCCTGAATATATACATATATATATTTGTATATAATATAATATATAAATAAATATATGTATACGGTCGAGCAAGTGTTCGAGTTTGATCCGATTAAATCACCGAAATGACAATTCTCCACGTAAATTCAATCGATATGAAATATATGTTATTGATGTATAATCAATTCATGAGATGCATGCTTTTGTTAAAAGAATCAATTATTTGGAGATAGATATTATTTTGAAGCCATAAAAATATATTTGCACTTGTATCATGTTTATGGCAAGTTGTGCAACTGCAATAATTAATAATAATAATGCAATAAAAATCAATTTGAGATGCTATATGTTTAACCAAAAATGAACAAGGCAAATATATATTCTCAGGCCCCAATAAAAGATTTGGGCTGGAAATGGATAACATGAATTATGTATATACATTGTCAAAATAATATTATTTTTCAAATAAATCTTTCAGGATTTGACCCATGTACAGATCACTACGCCAAGAAATAAAACAGATATATACATAAACGGTAAATAAAATTAAATCAAATGGGTTAAACGTTAGCTAATATGAAATATAAAGAGAAGTATTCGTAGCTTTTAAATTAAATTAAAGAGGGTCTAGTTGCAATTAAACATAAAATCATGGTAGGTGAGTGTAATTTACTCTAATAAGAAATATGAAAATGTTTCTAGCACCCGAAGAATTTCAATCCAATGTTAATAATTTGTGCGTAGCGCAGCGCGCTCGTTGAAGAGCACAGTAGTCTGGTAGTAAGCATCTTGCACCTAAGATCTATTTGGTTATGTGTTCGAGTCGTCCACGTAAGAAAATAGAAACCGACACTAATAAATGAATTAGTAATGTTAGATTAATTACCCGGTGCAGCATTGAATTTATCTACCGTTGGCGCACTAGTTTCGAAAACGACACGTCACGCGTCCTTGTTTCGACGAAAATTCGCAGATTTTTCTCATTAATGGTTGTTGTTTTTCAACGACTGCACGGGTTATTAATTAGCTAGCAAGGCTGCTGCTGCAATTTTTTCTTCATTCATTTGTACGATCAATTGATATGAAGTATCGTTAAAATTTTCTCTACGTCATTTGTCTTATTGCCAGATCTTCTTGACATATTCCAATGAAAACTAGAGAGAGAAATCTAGAGAGAGAGAGTTCTAGAGAGAGAGAGAGAGAGGATATCTTTATGGGAGTGGTAGCCCACAAAACACAATGGTTTCTTATAACAACAGTCCCATCAAACAGTAGAGAAGCAGTAGCACCACCAAAATCTAGTCACAAGATTTTCACATTAATGCTTATACGATTCTCATATTTCCCATGTCCAATAAAAGAACACTAAAAGTACATCAATATCAAATAACACAATTAACCCTACTATACTTTGGGAAACTACTTGTGCTCTTTGTGCCCTTTACACATGCATTGTTTGTCTAATTTTTATTTACACTTTAGAGAGAGAGATAGAGAGAGAGGTGCACACTTTTTGAGAAGGATTGTTCATCGATTCTGTAATTAAATTTAACTCATCAAACAGTGACGAATCGAAATTCCAGCATGTCAGATCGGTAATTTAGTTTGGTAATCGATATTTAGTGAGTTTATAAGCTTTTGTATGTCTACGGTTCTTTGAAGAGCTTATAAGTTCAATGCGACGTACGTGCGTTTAATTGAGAATATACGTCAATTGGAAAAGAAGAAGAGGAATAGGTAGTACCAACTAGTTCATCATTTTGGACCTTTCACTTCATCAACTTGTTGGGGTCATATGATTCCTAAAGTACTACAATTTACATAGTGCTTTACACACAATGATGCATTCTTGGAATTTTTTAGATATAGCATTGTTGACTTTCTTCATTAGTGGATAAATGTACTTGAAATATATCCAAATTATTGTGCCATTTAAATAAAAAGGCAAAACTTATTTGAGTTATAGAAAAATGTAATATGATGTTTATATATATAGATATATTGTATTGACACATATAGTACTATGTGCTGTGTCCAACTTGGATGTTGCTTTTCAAATTAAAGAATATTTTTTAATTGACACAAATTCTTGTAAATATTTTTTAAAATGATTGTGGTACTTTTTCCTTGTCCCATTACTTTATTTTCCAACAATTTTTATTTTTCTATTTTTCTGTTTCAAGAAATATTTTTTTCTTCCCTCCCCATAGAAATTTATTGCAATTAGTACCCCTGTATTATATCAAATTGGCAAAACTCCCCCCTATGATTTTTTTTTATAGTAATTAATACCCCAATTTAGGGACTTGTGTACTAAAAAAATTTAATCATAGGCGGGTTTTCCCAATAAAATAACATGAGGTAGTTTATCTGCAATTTGATACAATAGAGAGGGTACTAATTGCAATAAACCATACACATATTCTTTTTTTTTTTTTTTTTTTTTTTTTTTAATGTTTTATTATTACTTATTTCTTACAAGAGAATCCACATTCAATCGAAGTGCGTAAACTCGTTGTCGTCGTACAATAGCTTACAAACTTTAAACGAAATTTAAACCACTAAACTATAATTAATCATTTAATTTGTTGCAGGCGACAAACTTAAACACCGAGTAGATGACAAATAATCATGCCCCTAATCAAATTATCAAGTGATAGCTAGCCTTATTATTACTACTTTATACTAAAGTAATATTAGAAACATATAATTATCTAATTAATATGTTTAAAATCTACTTTTTTTTTTTAATTTCTGTTGTGTACGCACGCGTGCAAAACACACAAAAATCATGTTAATGATGTCGAATTAATATGTTCCTCTTTTGCACGAATGTCCAAGATTGAGATATCCTGCCTTAACTTTCTCCTGCATAACCCAATTATATCAATTTAAATCATGATCGTATTTTTTTTTTCCTTTATTATGTTTATATTTATTTAAAAAAAAAAACTCATTTTATAATGCAATAATTCTTCCAAGATCGGGAAAATATCTATATATATAGGTCGTCGAAAATGATTTATCCCTCTTTCCGGAATTTCGCACTACTTTTGAATAACTACTTCCATATGAACAAATTAAAGTAAATCCAATTGCAATAACACTCAGTTTATTGTATGCTACACTAGATGAAATATATCGGGTAAATCTTTACCATTCATAAATACACACACATCCATATTGGTGTGTGTAGATCAACGGTAAAAAAACACCTAGTGTAATCTTCACCAAATGTAGCATAGAAATAACCATAACACTCGTGTTGTTTGAATCTGCAAAGGGAAGTATTAAATTCTCGGTACTTCTATACGAAACAATAAAGGGAGGAAAAAAAAACCCAATCTAGGCCTCGTTTGGCCAAGATAAGATTAAATAATATAATGAAACCCAATTGTTTTATTGAAGCTTGGAATGTCCAAAAAAAAATGCTTAAAAGGCAAGATAAGTCATGATAACATAATATTTGCGGGTCAACCCGACAAGTTATTGGGCATATATACCAAACATCAAACAAAGTCCAATTATTTAGTTAATCATGGATAATCTCCCCAACCAAACGGGGACCTAATATAACACTATATAAACTGATAAATTATTAAACAAAACTTACATATATTGGATTTCTAGGTTGATACTATTTCATAACGGCCAAGCCCTCGGTTTTCTTTCATTAATTCCGGCCTCCAAAATAAGGCTCTCAACAACTTCTACTTCAACCTATATGGGTGATAAAATTGTTGAGAGTCTTATTTAGTGGCCCAAATTCATAAAGAAATATTTTTCATTAGCAATGGCAGAAGAACGCCCACAAATTATTTGGGATTCGTAACTAAACACACGATCAATATATATAATATTAAAATATATCAATGGAGGAAGAAGAACGAAATATGACTATCGAGAGCATTATTTTGGAGTCGAAATTCGGTACATGACCATTTTGAAGTTCCGGGCTCATCGGGCAAGCCCCGAAAGAGCGGCCCGATCAAACCAGAATCGGAATTCATCCACCCAAAAAATGCGGTTACATGTGGATTTGCATTAGCTCTAGCTAAGTATTAGAGATAGACTGCAGAAACGTGTATTTATAGTAGATGATGCAGTGCAACTTATTAATGGAGAATCTTCTGTCGTGATATTTACATTGAATATCGAATTATGTCACGTGTAAAATTGATATGATTTTCTATCCGTTAGTTTTTTCTGTTAATTTTCAATTAATGGACTTTGCTATAGAAGATTGGAATGGAAGATTTTCGATACTATATTTGTGTACATATTTTTATTAATAAATTGATTGTTATTAGTTATTAAAGAAAAATAATTAAAACAAAATCGATTGTTATAGCGTGTAGATTTTCTTGGATTCGTAAAGTGTGAAAATTTGAAGAGAGATCAAAATTTACCATTTTCAGCGGAAAAAATCGTTTTTTCTTCTTTAAAACGAAAAAAACTACCGATTCAATGTAAAAAAAATCCTGAATATTATGTAATCGGAATTTCAAAAATTGAAATGAAACTTTTATATTCTGAAATCAGAAATTTTTGATCTAAACCAGCTGTAGACGCATAAAATT